TTGGAACGGTGCCAAAAACTTAACCTCCGTAACGGGAGGTAGGAACCAATGACGTAGAATTAATTGCGCAATCGACTCTCAATGCGTATGGCAACCCTCTCCTTTAACGACAGTCGGTTTTTTTCCCCGCTTGGACGGCTGCCAAACTGCGACTACGCAAAAACGCCAACGAAAACTATTCCGTGAATAATTTTCATAGGGGAAAGAGTTTCTCGGGAGTTTTATGAAGGGCTCTGAGAACTCTCTGGATAGCACGAAAAGGTTTCTTTAAAAATTCTTGTAAATTAGAGGATAAGAAATAATTGAACAATTTTTCACGGGGCAATGCCGCTGCCGAAGGAATTGAACTTGTCGTAAATGTCAACATCAATGACGATTAGTGAAACGAACCAAGAACCGTGAAGAATTAGCACTTTTCGGAGATTTTAATCGACCGGTTGACATTCACCCGCCAATTTCACAACACCGATTCGATCGATAACCGTCTTATGACGTCATGCCAGGCAGTTGGCCAGCGTCCAGCCGAAATGGGCGGGGCATATTTACAGGAGAAAAGCTGTCAGAATGCCTGTGCCTCCGTCAGTAGCGTACTGCCTAGCGGCGATTTAAATTTGGCGCGCGCGCGAAAGGCGGTGCCATGGCGGCCGCGGTGGCTGTCCGCAACGATGGCCATTCGACTCGGTGTCTTGGCCCCGGCTGGGTATGTGTCTTAGTCCCGGTGGCCTGTCACGTGACTAGATCCCTACTCAGCCGAGACCACACCTCTACTGCTGCTTCGACTCACCTCTCTGATTCCTCACTACTTGCTTGTCGACATCTTCTGAATCGTCTGTCACTGCTCCAACGCCGTCTGTACCCGGCTGTCGCCCGACCGGCAGTTGCCTCGTGATCCGTGATCTGTAGATCGAATCACAGCCAACTGCTGCTCGGGAGGATGCCGTTCGATCCTTCATGGGTCACATGTGTCCTGTCGCGGCGTGCAGTGCGAGTCTATCGTGTCTCAAAGCGAGTACTACCTGCTTTGGCACATGTTAGGCCGGCAGTACAGCCCGATGGTTTTTATCTGTGCAAGTCTGCAGCGCCGTGCACATTATTCTTTCGTCTCGTCGTTGTCGTTGTGACCGTTACTCATGATCAGTTGTGTCATCTGAAAACATGAATAGCGGCGCATACCGAATGAGCTATGCGATTGTCAGCGGCCATCTGTACCATGTGCGCGTCCTTGACGTTGCATATTACCGTGCCCCGAACAAAAGCAGATGGGGAACCGGTGCTGCCGATCACCATTCCTCATTACTTTCTTTGTGTAGTGGATTCGATTCGTGGGATAAGTAAACTCTCACTACACACGTTCCCAAAAAAGTGCAAAAGCAGAGCAGGACTTCTGCAAGATACTAACCTTGTTGATTAAAGACCATTCTATGGTTTTAGGTGTAACTAGAGGTTCATCACGTTGACACTGTGATCAATTTTCTGATTTCAACGACGTGTGGCACAGAAGCAGTACTTTTTTGAGCAGTCCTTGGTCGTATAACTTCGTAACATTTGGTCATGTTACGAGTTCAAATACGATATTCCTTAATGACCTATTTTTGCTATTTCTACGTTACATGGTATCATTATATGCACTGCGACTCTGGACTGAAGCATGACAATGCTACCGATGTTAAGGTTCAAAGCATTCATTGCCGTCGAACTATTTAATAATTGCAAGCAATTTTTGTATGCTGTGTTCCAAAAATTATTGCGTGTCATCGAACTAGCTCTTGTCGGATGTTTTTGGAAAGATATAGTGGCATTGTAGTGCAAAAATTGTAACTGCTTATAGTTTTAGGATCGCCAGAAATTGCGTGAGCTATTTTTTTGAAAAATGGTGCACCATGCAAATGGGTTAGGTTCGCCCACGCACTCACATCTCCCTATTCCAGGAATAGGCATTTTTGGAGGCCTTCGAGTGATTGCTTTCGAACGCAATTTTTATCTAACGCAAATCAATTCAAAGTATGCCTCGATCCAGCGGGGTAAAGCGAACGAGCTGTTTCTGTCTCACTCTTGAAATAAGGTTGACGGTACCTTAAAAAGTTCCTATCGAGAACTTTCCGACACACCTGAGATAGCACGGTCAGCATTTATATTGTCTAATCTTTTCAGTGTTCTGGACAGCGTTGTAAGGCATCTGACACATATGAGTTTCTGCCCTAATCCAATCATTGCTGTCCTTAACTGGTTTACGGGCTACTTGAACTAGGTCTTTGAAACGACCATGACTTGACCCCACACACTCAAACCTTTGGTACACTGTAATTGGCTCACCCAATCGACAGTTCCTTCCCCGAAAAGGCTTAGCCACTGAGGGCCGACACCTTTAGAACTTGAATCCGAGCCATCACTGTTCTTTGATCGTCAGTCTTGCGGCAGAGAATATGAAGGAAAGCTCAACTAGCCACGCAAATGTCCTCAACCTCCGTGTCAAAAATGTAGTATTTCATCCAAGTCGTCTGCATGTGTGCAAAAGTAGCTATATAAAATAAAAGATTTAATTTTAATTCGTTTCCAAATATATCCCGCACTGACACATAATCGCAAGCGAATAGACATGATTAAAACCAATTATGATCACAATAAACACGCCGCTATACACGACTAGCGATCCTCAGAGCTACTCCCAGCTTCCGCGAACCTGAATCAAGTTTCACTTTACTTCAGGAAGCGGTTTGTTTAGCCACAACGAATTTGTTAAAAGCTTCTTCACCTCTTCAGTCTCCTTTGCCTGATCTCTTCATCTTCGGGTGATCGAACAATCGTCTCCTTAGACGATGACGGTATATCAGGAGATTCCCTATCTTCTGGAGTTGTCGACGATTCCGGTACCGCGCCCGTTTTGGCTAATCGCGAAGAAGATGCCGATGTTCCGAATAAAGACTTGGACGATGATGGAACATCAGCCGCCGTGTTCTGAAGACAACGATGAAATGAGTAACCTGATAAGAGATCAAGATTAAAGGTGGTGAAAGTTTGCGAAGAAGTTAGCTAACAGAGGTTCGTGAGATCCTACTTCCTACATGAGCCCTATAAATAGAATTGATTGCCAGACCAATCATACTCCAAATAATACAGCAACAGGTTATACATATAGGGTAAAACGGGGGGAATCGGTACAGTGGCAAGTACCACCGCTTATCACGCGCACAGCTTAGGGAAGAAATCCGTTCCAGGCGAGCACAGACCATCCACCATCCCTTTTGTGTCG